TGAGGGCATGATATTCTATCAAATATAGTACGTTGGCACAAACAACGGGAGATAAATTTCCGTGGAGATGCGATCCAAAAGAAAGATAAACATCGAAACGAATATATATATATATATATATATATATATATATATATATATATATATATATATATAGTATATGATTGGTATATACGGAATGAATTCAATAACCAACAAACACTATTCTTAAAAGAGTGCTCAATACAAAGTAGAGCAGATATAATTATTTATTTTAAAAATTTATAACATAAATATGTTATAAAATCACTACAAAATAGCCATTTTGTTTCAACATCATCACTTGATAAGACACTGAGAGTGTTGAAACAAAATGGCTATTTTTGTAGTGATTTTATAACATATTTATGTTATAAATTTTTTTAAATAAATAATTATATATATATATATATATATATATATATATATTAATCGATTAATTTTAATCATCGACTTATCGAAATTACGAATAATCCTTCTTAGAACGAGCTTTCGACTTTTCTGAAGTCATCATCAGGGTAGGTAGAAACAATTGGTGAGATTCGTAGAACTAGTGAGTGTTGTGACGTTATCGAAGAGTGTTGGAACGTAGGCGATGAATGAACGCAAATATTCCCTGTGCCTTTCTATAAATACCTTCACGGTAATTGTTCTGATGACCTTTACTCTATGATACCTAGACTTTAGGAATTTAAACATTTTACAGTTGAATGTCTATGTGTGTTCCATTCTAACAGTTTCTTCTCTCACACTTCTCGCTTGTGGAACTCACTTCTAGCTTACTGCTTCCCAGTTAACTTTAAGTGTCAATAATTTAAATGCAATGTCAATCGTTATCTCTGCACTTCTTAATTTCTATTTTTTATTGTTCTTTCTCTGTAACAGTTTTTTTTTCATGATCTTGCTTATACATTAACCCCACTGCGTCTTAGTGACTTTATTTCCTTGCTTGGGCTGAAATGATAAAAAAAACTACACTCAATGCGTTGAACTTAGAGAATGCAGACTGAAAGTGCACTAATCATCTACGGTAAATTTACATCCAGAATCGTAAAACATACAAATTTCACGGTGGAAAAAATTGACTTATTTAATAAAATCTATCATAGCTACATAGATAGATAGATAGATAGAATTTGAGATAGATATAGAGATATAAATATACCGATAGTTTGACTGATATATGTAGCGAATATGAGCAACTTCAGTTAATCTCTTAGTTCAATATATTTTTTTAAATCCTTCAGAACACGTTGCTAATAAAAGGGATACATTGTCAGAAGTTTATTGAAACTTTAATTCAAAACGTAGGTAAATTTGAAATTTAGCTAAATTTTGAAACTTAAAATATTCGGCGACGTAAAGTTCTTCATCGTTTGTCTGAGTAAAAGAAGGCAAAACTGTTGCTTTTGAAAATTGGTTTTAGTAGACAGATTCAGTTTTTTTTAGGAAGTTTTGTTAGAACCGCACATGTACAAAACGAATTTTACTATATTCTTCAAGATTGAAACGCCGATTGCAGCTTCCCAGCAGCATTGCTTGCAAATCTGCTTTTTCTTTTGGATGTCTTTCTTTTCCTACTAAATCCTCTATTATTTCTAGTTCCCTACCTATTCCAAACGACCTACTTCCTTCCTTCCTTCCTTCCTTCCTTCCTTCCTTCCTTCCTCTTTCTCTCTCTCTCTCTCTCTCTCTCTCTCTCTCTCTCTCTCTCTCTTGTCTATATTACTCATTTTCTTTTCCTACTTCCCTCTTTCATGTTCGAATGTTTGTTTTTGACCTCTGGCGTAAATTTCCCGATTTTCTTTTTTTTTTATTTTGGTGTGAAGATGTCATGGGAAGGTCAGAAAAATGACCGATTGAAATCAAGCTTCTTGTTGGCTGGAAGATGTATTTTATCGACCGCACCCTGTCCACTTCCCAAGATTCCTTACCGTCAGACAAACGACATTACCGAGAAACCCACCAAGGAAAGGACAAACTGTTTACATTCGAATGAGTTTCATTGATTTTTTTTTTCCTTAGAGTTCTCTTCCATTCTTTTTTACTCACTGAATGTGTAGATTTCGTTTCCTCTTACTATCGCTTCTTAGCGCTCTTGACATTCTTTTAAGAAACAAAAATCAATGAACGATCAAAAAGTTTTCTTTCCAATGAAACTAATCGCAGTTATTTTCTCTCAATTTTCTTTTTCACTTTCTCCTCCTTTCTCTCTATTTCACTCTCTCACTATCTATCTATCTATCTATCTATCTATCTATCTATCTATCTATCTATCTATGTGCATTGGCCTCATTTGCCTTTCTATCATTTCATCGTTCTTTCTCATTTTATGTGCTTGTTTTGCAGTTACATCTCTCTCAGTTTCTTTCTTCTCTCTTTCTCTATCTCACTTTTCTTACCTCTTTCTTTCATTTTATCTCTTTTTCTGTCATTCTCTTTTGTATTTCTATCCTTTTTTTCTCTTTCTCTATCATTATGATTCATCTTTATTCCTCTGTCTTTCATCTTTGAATATTTTCGCTTTCTTTTGTTCAAATAATTCGCAGTGTAGCAAAAATGTTTCACTTGAAAACTACAAACAACAATAGAAAAACTGAAAACTTCATAGTCCCAGTTTTCCTGTTTCTCTTTTGCTCTCCCCATGTATTTAACGAACCACACTATAGCGGATTTCGAAGTAAATCAACCTTATCATCAATTCATGAGTCGTGACAATTATTTCTTCGTTATAATCATGAATAAAATGGTGTAAATTATCCTTATTTTTTCTTTTATAACCACACAATATTTTTTCGGCAGTTCGAAAGATGTAAATATTGTAAATTTTTACAATAACTCTTCTCAGAAATATAGACAAATATCTTTTATTATGACGAAAATTGATTTTATTTCTGAGAACATCGGGCTCTGTGAGATATTTTTAGTTAGGTTCCGTGCCGCTACCAAAATGGTTAAGAATCACTAATAGCAGTCAGTTATGTGCCATGCGTGATACACACTTAGGCGATCACGTATGTTTCGATACATGACTGACGAGGCAGTTTTTTTCCCTGCGGTAGGTTGCCATTTCTTTCTGCAGTAGATCAGTTGCCATCCAAGGTCTGTCCTGCTATTTATCCATAGCTGGGGGGAGAAGAAGAGGATTCATACCTTTGCCAAGGGTATTAGTACGTAAATGAATGCACTGGATTCGACTGGAATTCGAAATCGGCTCTCCGATTCCTCAATCCGAGCCGCTATCCATTACTCCACCGTGCCTCCTAACGCTAATATACACTGTCATAATACGAGGACAGATTTCATGTTTCATGATAGTCTAAGGAGTTTACCAAAGAAGATGGTGACCTTTAAGTAATTTCGTAATATATAAAAAAAATAAGTTGCTTTGCAATTTGTATCAATGTTCAAGACTTTCTAAATATAAAAGTTAAAATTAAGATAAAATACGATACGTGAAAACAATTGCAATAAAAAAAATAATTTAAAAAATATACTTACAGTAAGAATATATTCCATTAACTATTTATTTATCTAGAGAGCCAGTCGTTTTTCTTGAACACACTATTACACATATATTATGGCAATAAAAAATTCAATGTTTTCAATTTTTAAATTCGAAATAAAAATAAAAATGAAATAATATTCTATGACTATGACATTAGAAGGATATAGTACATAACATTATATGATAAATTATCTTTCCATTTCTCTTGTTATTTTAATTACATATGCAGAAGGGCAATTCATTCATAACTATCTGTTGTACTATTCTGGTGATGAATGAATGTTACACAATCTGTGTGACTGTGTCTCTGTGTGTGCATGTGTGTGTGTGTGAATACACATAGGATTGAATAATTTTAAATTGTACAGTCATGTGTATGAAATCATTTTTTACATTAAAATATTTAAAAATGGTAAAAGTTCCTCTTCTAGAGTGTATTCGAATTTAACTGATATTCGGTCTAAACGAGCAAATCTTCAGCTTATTACCAGTCTTCATCGAGGGTTTACTACATATATATATACGTAATACATGAACACTTACACACAAACGTGAGGATACACACACACACACACACATATATATATATATATTTCTTCTTTAAGATTTATTTTTCAAATTGCGTTTTGTTTGTTTAAGTGATAGAGGGTTTTTTTTTTTTTTTTTTTTTTTTTTTACAATTAAGTAGAATTTCCTGTCTTTTTATCTTCGGTTTTCCCGTGCTAATTAAAGTCATATTCAAATACTAAAAAAAATACTTTAATATTATGAAGAGCGAAAAAGAAAAAATAATTGCCTGAAATAACAAACAAATGGAAAGCAGTAGAACCTACAAAAGAAAGAAGACAGATAAATTGTGTGAAAAAGAAATTCCTGTCTTTGAACTTCGAGTAGAGAAATTGTTTCTCTAGGCAAGTTGTTTTCTCCCTGTGATACTGCCAGTTCAATTATTTCACTCACAGAGCCGAAAGCCTTCAGATTCTGAGAAACGATCGAAATTAAATTACTTCAACCTGCGTCCTACCTGTAACCAAGATCGTTTTAATGTTGGCTCAAGAAAAGGATATCCACATAGTCGAGATTCTTGTCAAGAGAGCTCAAACGTTATCGTAACCTTTATAAGAAATATCACTTCCTTACTCAGTTTAGTAATGTCACATATACACTACATGACATAGCCTAATGCATTTTTCTAAAACATTTTTCATAACGACTCTGAACACTGAATTATTTCGGTCTGGCAACCCTCAAGGCGGAAACGTTTTTTGTTTTGTTTTTTTAGTGTTTTATACATTTTAAAGATATTTCTTTTAATAATCAATAAATTTCCGTATTTCTTCTGTTGATTGAAGAAAATGAAAGACACAACTTCATGTGAATGTCTCACGTGCATATCACAAGATGTCGGTGACCCAAAACATCAGAACTAGTAAACAATACTCAGAATGGTTCAGGCTCCATCCACCTCTATATACACGTATTGGATAAACAGAATGCACTGTCATGTATTTTCATACATTTATCAATGATTTAATAATAAAAACTCTCAATGGTTGTCTCTAATCCTAAACTGTTATGTGAATATATATTTTTTAATGTCATGTCTTACCAGGTTGACGACGATCATGACTCCTCACAGATTCCTTTACTAAGGACGGATTCATGCCTTTCACAAGAACGTTTGGGCAAAAGTGAATGCAACGACTAGTCCAGAATTTGAATTCGACTTTCCGATTCCATTTTCAACGTCGATGCTCATTACACTACCGGCGCATCCTTATATAAATATATATTTACATCATTTTTATTTTTTATATTTATTGTTTTCTAATTTTTAAACTTTCCCGCAACCCAGAGGAACATTTGATTTGACATTGATTCAGTCAACAAAACGCTGACATATCCCATCTGGAGAACATTGCTTTCAATCATATCTTCAAGAAGTATAGACATATATATCGGCTCAGTGGTGAGGTAAGACAGTTTCAAAGAAGTTACAACTTGAGTTACTCTCTAGTAAGAAGAACAGGCAAAACATAAAAGGAATTACAGTAATATTATTTTGGATGAAATAAAATGTTCAGTTTTTATAATCATAGAAAGTTACTGAATACGGTAGATACCTAAGAGATCTCAGAAAGTAGAACCCCCAAAATATTTGTGGTTATAGATAAGGAAACTAGTCAAAATAAATCAAGGTGTTCTCGTAATATCTTATAAAGATTAACGTAGAAAAATCAAGATAGCCATCGTAATAAAATTCAGACTGTAATAATAGATTGGATATTAAAGACAACATCCAAAGTTCCATCTGAAGTATGGAAGAAAACAAATAGAGAATAAGGCAATCTGGGATGTGGTGACGCTGTAAAAATTCCCTACATAAGTCAATAGTAATTGCTTTTTCGATTAACGCAATTTCGACATTTTCGCATATCAGGGGAAACACTAAACAAATTTATGTAAAAAAAAAAATGAAATGAAGTGGTTAAAAAATTGAGAAAATACAGCCAGGAAAACAAATAAAAACAGATATATACAAAAAGACTAATTGATACACACACACACACACACACACACACACACACACACACACACATATATATATATATATATATATATATATATATATATATATATATATACGCATACATACGTACAAATTGCCTGAAGATCGCATGTGCATGAAACTCGGGTTAAAAATAGGGTATTCCTTTCATAGGATATACGTTATGTCCTATCTAGACTTCGAGCACTTTAATTTATTGACAATGTAGGTTTGCCTTTAGGCCTTTTTTTCTTTTTCTTTTTTTAGTATTGTTTTTTGTTCAAGACTTAATCGGGATAAGAGTTTAGGTTTTGGCAAGTTGTCCATTGGTTCCATCAACGATTTTTGTTTTTCTTTAATATATATCGAGTTCCGCCACGGAATATGTGAGCGAGCGGCGCTTTGTTGAGTCTGATTTGGAATCTCTTCGTCACCGAGGCCCACTTGGGACAGTTGGTATGATGTCAGCTTAACAACCTAACTGTCAGGGTTTCAATTCTCGGTAGTGGATGCGCACTGCTGATGAGTCCCAAATATAGGACGAAACGGCCGTCCAGTGCTTTCTGCATTCTGTAGAGGTTTCTATCAGACTCGATGAATTAATTAAATATATATATATATATATATATATTACAGGTAAAAGATGGTTTAGCCCGACATACAATTTCTAACCTCAGAATTGTTGGTTGGAAGAGGTTTTCAGCATCGCCCCTTATCTCCCTATCTATCTATCTATAGATAGATAGATAGCAGTCAGAGAAATCAATTTTGCATGATGACTATCAGTTTCACGCCTGAAGCAACATTCAGCCTTCAGATCTGAAAGCGGTTTGTAGCTCGCTAGGGGCGTAAAATTAAAAATTATCATACAGTGTTGATTTCTATGTCCAGAAAATCTACCTCTCCAAACGATCGATACTGAGCTCTCTTCCAATATAAATATACCAAATTTTAAACTATATATATATATATATATATATATATATATAAGGAGAAAGTGGGTGAAGAAGTTAAATCTTTTATTGACAACTGATTTTTTCAAGTGCCCTATACCACATAAAAATTAGATTCTCGATTTTGATTGGTTGTGATGAAAAGTGTTAAATTAACCTAGCCCTCTTGACTGCGATGTGCTCCAATTCTTTTTCTATTGTTGGTTTTCTAAAAGAATGCACTTACCGCCCGCCCCCTTCCCTAGTTCAGTGTCTAAACACCGCCCAGCTTCACCATCTTCCTTTTCTATTCTTTAATGCATGACTTATCTACCAGACTCCTGATGTCAATCTGTTCATTAATCTACTTGAATTTGTTCACATGGATGCTATCACTCTTGATCGTGGTTTGGTTATCGGTCTATCTATTTGTATATTTGTAGATGTGGGATTTTAAAACTTTCGCACCCGATTCTATATTTACTTTTCTACCT